TAAAATATTTATTATAAAATGTTAAAAATATTATAAAATGTTATAAAATGTTATAAAATGTTATAAAATGTTATGTTATAAAATATTATAAAATATTATAAAATATAAAATATAACATTTTAAATATTATATTATAAAATATAATATAAAATAATAAAATATGGAATAAATCTGAAATGGGAAATATAAAAAAATATGAAACATGAAATAAATATAAAACATGAAATAAATATATAAAATAAAATACAAAATAAATATAAACAATAAAATAGAACCTTTCTGGATGGATGAGGCTAGCGAGTGGCAAAAAGCCCTTTGGAGAAAGGAAATAAAAATTTACTACCTTTTGCTGATGATTTTGACCGCATATTCCGTCCCGGTTTGTCTATGTCGGCAACGGCGGCAGACGGAGAAGCTTCCTTCCCCCAGTGGGGGCTCCACCAAATCCATCTCATATTTTTGGAAGAACGAAGAATCCTGAAAGAGAGAGAAAGGAGAGAGAGAAGCAGGGAAGTTAGTAAGTGAGACGGGTGATTCTTGCTCTTAGCATTGCAAGTAGAATCACTTAATTTGGCTTCTAAATGACCATAAATGCTTACAAACTCTGTGGATCCAATTAATGCCTGGACTATCGTGAAAACTTTTGACTTTCAACTTCCTTGACTTCCTTGATCTCGATAGTCCTTGACTTACGACCATAAATCACTCCAAAATTACAGTCATAAGCCCTGGCAGTCGTTAAGCAAATCGTAAAATCAACGGGGTGGGGGGGGGGAGGAATCAGATTCTCTTTAACAACTTAAACGCAGTGATTTCCCTTAACAACCCATGGCACGAAAGCTCATAAAAATGAGGCAAAATTCACTTCAAGCCGACGTCTCACTTAGCAACAAAAATTTGGGGCTCCGTTGCGGTCGTACGCTGAGGACTACCTGTATCTGGGAAACTTTTTGAGGCCCCCGTTCGGATATCCCCATCGCAGGGTTTGAAGCGAGTTGTGTGAACCCAGCCCCTGAGGTTTGTAAACCAGGATTTTCCGTCGTTGTATATTGGGCAATTCAAGCCGTAGCCACTGTCTACAAAATTATTGTGATCGAGGCTCCATGAAGCAGACTCCTTGTCCTGATAAAACCCCTTTTGATTAAGCTCATGTGATTTCCTCTCATTCCCGTCCAGCAAAGTCCCAGCCAACAGTTTTTTAAGGGTGTTTTTACAACCACAGACCTTATCAGGCTTGGAGAGCTGCCAGGCCGATATCTTCCAAACGTTGTACAAGAAAATGCTTCGCCAGGAGTGTCATGTACAAATCTTCACACTAATTAATCGAACTCATGGTCTCCTGCAAACTCCACTCCCTTTTCGCTCCTCTTTTATTTCCTCTGGGAGGGGCCATTCACCGTCTACCTGTGGCCTTCCTCCCAAGTCGATCCCCTGTTCTTTAGCCGTTCCTTTCATCTGGCAGCTCTGTGCATGCGCACACTGGGAA